ACAGGGATAGTAACAGGCTGGGATGGACACCGGGTACAGGGATAGTAACAGCCTGGGATGGACACCGGGTACACGGATAGTAACAGCCTGGGATGGACACCGGGTACACGGATAGTAACAGCCTGGGATGGACACCGGGTACAGGGATAGTAACAGCCTGGGATGGACACCGGGTACAGGGATAGTAACAGGCCGGGATGGACACCGGGTACAGGGATAGTAACAGACTGGGATGGACACCGGGTACAGGGATAGTAACAGACAGGGATGGACACCGGGGACAGGGATGAAGCCCAGCAGCCTGGGATGGACACGGGTACAGGGATGGTAACAGCCTAGGATGGACACCGGGTACAGGGATAGTAACAGGCTGGGATGGACACCGGGTACAGGGATAGTAACAGCCTGGGATGGACACCGGGTACAGGGATAGTAACAGGCTGGGATGGACACCGGGTACAGGGATAGTAACAGGCCGGGATGGACACCGGGTACAGGGATAGTAACAGGCTGGGATGGACACCGGGTACAGGGATAGTAACAGCCTGGGATGGACACCGGGTACAGGGATAGTAACAGCCTGGGATGGACACCGGGTACAGGGATAGTAACAGGCTGGGATGGACACCGGGTACAGGGATAGTAACAGCCTGGGATGGACACCGGGTACAGGGATAGTAACAGCCTGGGATGGACACCGGGTACAGGGATAGTAACAGCCTGGGATGGACACCGGGTACACGGATAGTAACAGCCTGGGATGGACACCGGGTACAGGGATAGTAACAGCCTGGGATGGACACGGAGTGCAAGGGATAGTAACAGGCGGGATGGACACGGGTACAGGGATAGTAACAGGCGGGATGGACACGGTACAGGGATAGTAACAGTCAGGATGGACGCGGGTACAGGGATAAGTAACAGCCTGGGATGGACACGGGTACTGGGATAGTAATGGCTGGGCGGGATGGACACCCGGGTACAGGGATAGTAACAGCCTGGGATGGACACGGAGTACAGGGATAGTAACAGGCGGGATGGACACCAGGTGCAGGGATAAGTAGCAGGCCCGGGATGGACACGGGTACAGGATAGTAACAGGCGGGATGGACACGGGTACAGGATAGTAACAGGCGGGATGGACACGGGTACAGGGATGGCAACAGGCGGGATGGACACGGGTACCGCAGTTGGTAACAGGCGGGATGGACACCGGGTACAGGGATAGTAACAGGCCGGGATGGACACCGGGTACAGGGATAGTAACAGTCCGGGATGGACACCGGGTACAGGGATAGTAACAGCCTGGGATGGACACCGGGTACTGGGATAGTAACAGGCCGGGATGGACACCGGGTACAGGGATAGTAACAGCCTGGGATGGACACCGGGTACAGGGATAGTAACAGTCCGGGATGGACACCGGGTACAGGGATAGTAACAGCCTGGGATGGACACCGGGTACAGGGATAGTAACAGGCCGGGATGGACACCGGGTACAGGGATAGTAACAGCCTGGGATGGACACCGGGTACAGGGATAGTAACAGCCTGGGATGGACACCGGGTACAGGGATAGTAACAGGCCGGGATGGACACCGGGTACAGGGATAGTAACAGGCTGGGATGGACACCGGGTACTGGGATAGTAACAGGCCGGGATGGACACCGGGTACTGGGATAGTAACAGCCTGGGATGGACACCGGGTACTGGGATAGTAACAGCCTGGGATGGACACCGGGTACAGGGATAGTAACAGCCTGGGATGGACACCGGGTACAGGGATAGTAACAGGCCGGGATGGACACCGGGTACAGGGATAGTAACAGGCCGGGATGGACACCGGGTACAGGGATAGTAACAGCCTGGGATGGACACCGGGTACAGGGATAGTAACAGCCTGGGATGGACACCGGGTACAGGGATAGTAACAGGCTGGGATGGACACCGGGTACAGGGATAGTAACAGCCTGGGATGGACACCGGGTACACGGATAGTAACAGCCTGGGATGGACACCGGGTACAGGGATAGTAACAGCCTGGACACCGATGGACACCGGGTACTGGGATAGTAACAGGCCGGGATGGACACCGGGTACACGGATAGTAACAGGCTGGGATGGACACCGGGTACACGGAGAGTAACAGGCTGGGATGGACACAGGGTACAGGGATAGTAACAGGCTGGGATGGACACCGGGTACAGGGATAGTAACAGGCTGGGATGGACACCGGGTACACGGATAGTAACAGGCTGGGATGGACACCGGGTACAGGGATAGTAACAGGCTGGGATGGACACCGGGTACAGGGATAGTAACAGCCTGGGATGGACACCGGGTACACGGATAGTAACAGGCCGGGATGGACACCGGGTACAGGGATAGTAACAGGCTGGGATGGACACCGTACTGGATGGACACCGGGTACACGGATAGTAACAGGCTGGGATGGACACCGGGTACAGGGATAGTAACAGCCTGGGATGGACACCGGGTACAGGGATAGTAACAGCCTGGGATGGACACCGGGTACAGGGATAGTAACAGGCTGGGATGGACACCGGGTACAGGGATAGTAACAGGCTGGGATGGACACCGGGTACAGGGATAGTAACAGGCTGGGATGGACACCGGGTACAGGGATAGTAACAGGCTGGGATGGACACCGGGTACAGGGATAGTAACAGCCTGGGATGGACACC